CTGAGTTCAATCCCCAGTTCCACCGAGAGAGAGAGAGAGAGAGAGAGAGAGAGAGAGAGAGAGAGAGAGAGAGAGAGAGAGAGAAGAAAGAAAGAGAGACTGGTGTTGAGAAGGTCAATAGGTCAATGCAAGTTGGGTTTATGTTGTGAAACTAACTTTACCCATAGTAGTAGAGCACATATATCATCAGCTTATAAAGTAGGAATGGGAGCTTTTGAAGGATTCATCAGTAATCTGGTTGAGTGTTACTAAACTATAACATTGAGTCTTGTGACTCAGTAGTTTTGAATAAATAATTTCATAGTTTAATTTCAAATTTCAGTAGTTTAACATAATTGTTAAATATTTTATAAACACCTATTACAAAATATTTATAAAAATAATTATATAATGATATATGCTTCTATTACATTTGCCTTAAGTATGCTTTATGTCATATTCCATAATATACAACACTGTATAGCTATTACAGTTCACATGGGAGCTTGGCATAGTAGCTCACACCTATAATCCCAGCACTTAGGAGACTGAGGTAGGAAGATGACAGTGAATTTAAGGCCAGCCTGGGCTACATAGGAAGACCCTGTCTCAACTAAAAAAGAAAAAAAAAGACCTCATGTGGTAGTGAGCTTGGGATATAGTTCAGTGGTAGAACACTTGCCAACTCCCTGAGTTCAATCCCCAAACATTGCAAAAACAAAACAACCAAACTTATGGTAATGACTGGAAAAAAAGCTTGTGTGATATAATAGATTTAAGAACAACCCCCATGGGCGGGGGAGATAGCTCAGTGGAATAAGCACTTGGCCTGGCAAGCGCAAGGACCTGAGTTCAATCCACGGTTCCGCAAAAAAAAAATAAAAAGAACAACCCACACCAGATTGTGAATCACCATAGATGAACAATTAGCGATGGGAGAGTATGAAAAAGTATAGGAAAAGGAAATTTTAAAATTATATTGTTTCTGAAGTTATCAATAGCTGGCCTTACAGGTGCTTTCTTAGTGGTTGTGTGTGTGTGTGTGTGTGTGTGTGTGTGTGTGTGTGTTGGGGGATGGGGTACAGTCTTAAAAACACTATGGAAATAACACCAAGGGAGGGTGAGGAATGGAAGATTTTCTTGACTTATTTCAAATTTTTGAAGTGACTACTTTATCCTTGCTCAGCTATTTCCTGGATAATTTTAGAAATAGAGATGACATCTGAGTGGTTTTATTAAAGACTCTAGATTAATATTTGCATTAGTCTTTGTATTGTCAAATGTTAGATACTGTGTGGTCTTTTTTTTTTTCATTCTTGTTCTTGCTAGCTGGGCTTTGGTATCATGACTTCCTCCTAAAGGACTGAATCTGACTCTGTAGGCAGCCCACGCAAAGGTTTATTTTTATAGCCTACGAGAAATGTTGTTTGGAGACCATTGTAATGAAGAGAGGGCAGTAAGTAGATAAC